TTTTTTCTGTCAAGATGGGGTGCTGAGTGTACATTAATGAGAAATAAAATGAACTTTTTTGATTTTAGCAAATGGCTGCAATGAAACAAAGAGTGAAAAATTTAAAGGGGTCTGAATACTTTCCGTACCCACTGTATTACTACATATCAAAGACTGTGCAAGTCACTAAAACCAGACCGCTGAGGGAGGCAGCAGTCGTGTGCATGGATATAAACCACCATGTCTTTATACAGGCACTCACATGTCTTTTAGAGGTAGACTTTAGAGAGGATGTCCTCTGTGGAGCTGACCAGTTGGTACTCATGTGAGACAACAATATCTTTTTTTTTTCATCAAATTGAACTTTTGATTGACTGAAAACAGTTGGCTTAGTAAGAACTCATAATACTGTTCTGAGTTATGTACACAACTTGATCACAAGTCAACCATGCAGTCATTGTGCAGAATTATAAGCCGTGTTGTATTCATTTAATTCTCACGAAAGAATTTTGTCCATTTCCCATTTCTATGCCTTTTACTGTGCTAAGTGTACCACATCACTGTGGGAGGGGGGCATCGGTGTGGGGAAGAGGAGGCCGATGGTTATGAGGTGGGGCGGAGTGCCTTACTCAAACTAATGCAGAGCTGTTGCCATTGTGATATGTTTTGGGAACTGAATGCAAAACAGATGTTAATGACCATGCACACATATCAGCAAACTGTTGAGTTGTGGAGCCTGTTTTCTTCTGACCTAACACCAAGCAGTATATATACAGTTATCTTGATGCACTCTTATCAATGTCAATGATTGCCCTTGTCCCCTAGTGCTTAAAGGGGGATACAATGTAGCCTGTAGCATTACATCCTCTTCCTAGAGTCATCTGGGAGAGTGGAGCTGTGAACGTTTGTCCAGACAGGGTCATTATCACAGTGGACCTAGGTTTCCTCATTTCAGCTTTATCCCGTAAAGGACATTAGTTGAGTTTGCTTTGTTGCAGGTGGAACCAATGCACCTGAATCTGAACCCAAGACTTCAGATGAAACACAAATGCCATTCAAAGCTAAGTTTTGATACTGGCAGAGTGGAGGCATGCTGCTATTAAACCAAGACACCCAAGATGAAGTCACCGTCCTCCTGCATTTCTACATTTTGATATCATCCATTTCTCTCAACATTATGTTTGCTCTCATTACAGATAAATCACCAGAGCGTTTGATTACTGGAGGAGCAGAGTTTAAAAAAGAATCACGATGCATTGTGACAATATGACTGATTGCAGCACGACGGCACATCAGTACAGGCCTACTGGTTAACTGGTTAACATGTTAGTGAGGAGCATGACAACATGCTATTTAGGCTGTAGAAATGTGTTAACTGTATGTACAGATGTCAACGTTCAGAAAAGGTGAAATGATGTGTCATCGGGCCCTCTGTCTCCGTCCGGGCCGTCCCCCTGCCTGCTGCGAGGGATTTTGTATACAGAAACAGAAAAAATGCTTTCTTGGAGCGCGTGAAGGACGGCACGTTCATAGATCCCCATTGAGATCAAGTATAACTGTGTAGTGTTAATTGTGTATTATTCACCTTGTACAGCTGTATTCCTACAAATATGGTTTACTGTATCATTGATACTGTAGTTTCAAAGACGTGAACAACTATTTTTATGAAATGCGACAGTACTGATATATTACATTTTGCTAAAAAACAAAAAACTTGTTTACTGAAAGATATTCTGAAATACTGTCAAATAAACTCTTGACATGGTGTAAAATACTAATTTGAAGAGATTGTTTTACTCGTAACCATGAAGGGGAGACTCGAGCAAACTCTCAATCGACTAATCGGAGACCCTTTTGATAATCGGTTCATTGTTGGTTCATAAAAGGTAAATGTTCTCAGGTTCCAGTTCCTCAAACGTGAAGTTTTGCTACTTTTGTTTCATATAATTCTCAAATATTTTTAGTGATTTTAGACAAAAAGCACCGCGGACTCTTAACATTTGAAGTATTTTATAGACCAAACTTTAAGTTGGTTAATGAAAAAACAACAAATCTACATATTCATTTATTTATAATAATGAAAATAATCATTAGTTGCAGTCCAACGTGAGACTCTAACAGAAACATGTTAAATATCAAAAATGTGTCTACATTAAGTTTGAAGAGGATTTTATTTAACAAATGAGCCTCATATTTATACAAACGAGCGCACTTGAAAACTTTGAAGCACTTCATTTCACACAATTCCTCTTTAGCGGCCCCTCACACCCACACAGGCTTCTCTTTCATTGAGCTGATTAGGCCCGTTTTTTAGCTCAAGATTGAGCAGAGCTATTGTGGGACTTTTCTGAGGTCAACGACCTGCATGATGGAATCAGAATCACGTTTCATCGGTCAATCAACATTCCACGAGTCGACCACAAAGCCCTGAGAACAGGTCTAATCAGCCAAACTAAGTGAAAACACCTGTGCGAGTGGGACGTGGGCGGCACCATCTATTTAATGAAGTCAGATCCACAAACATGGTGTAAATAATTAGTGTTTGGTCCTTGTGCAGATTTCCAGTGAGAGTGACAGTTAGTGTAAATATTGATTATAATCATTCACCGGTGGATGGACAGTAACATCTGAAACTTGCACCCACCCAATAAAATTTTTAAAAATGATACAAATATTTACATATTTCTGAACAAAACAAAGACGTACTCCATAATAAAACAACTTGTAAACATGTTCCCAGAATCACGTTGCTGTCTAGAGGGTTAGGCAGAGGTGGTGAGCTGACAGTCGGTTGTAGGGGATCTCATTGTTGAGCGTCATTTTCTGTAGGAACCACGGTTTCACTGTTTGGCTGCTCATTTAGAGGAGCCTCCTGAGAAAGAGGAACGGAGAAATGTATCATCAGGGTAAGAGAGAAAAAACAAACCGGTACAACTGCTATTTTCCAAACAGCCTCGAGCTATATTAAAATGAATAGTGACTATAAGGTTAAAGGTCATGTTATTGGCTTACCTTAAGATGTCTGTAGATTCCCATTTGGAAACGGCAGCAAAATACATCAATCAAGAATCCTACCACACCATGCAGCATGCCTGCAAGTGAGAAACAGACCCGACTTACTGTCGCCGCTGATGCTCAGTTTAAGACTGAATGTTTTCCCTCACAAGCAGAATTATTCCTCTACAATTTAAACTTGGAGCTCGCCAGTAACTCAATCATCTTTGGAAAAGTCATCTCCTCCCATCATATTCTAATCAATCCTGTGAGAATATCCCTAAATTCAGTTTTAAAAAGATGATTTGCTGAAGTAGATGACAAGATTGGATAACAGTAAAAGTCTTTAGTCCTGCTTTTTGTGGTAAACGAATGGGGCTTAAGGCACGACTGTAAAAGAAGCAGACCTCCGGAGATGCCCGGTTTTGCCCAGTAACTACATGCTGTCTAGATTTTAAATTGGTTGAAGACTTTTCAAAAGAGTCCCTGCTCACAACTTCATTACCGTGCAGGAATGACGTTTAAAAAATGAACATTACCAAGGCTAAATTAATGTTCTCTGTGACGGATTACTTATATTTCATACCGTTTCAGTCTCTACGTTCAGTTTCATACTGATAACATATAAAAAGGGAAGTTTATCTACCTGTTGTAGAGAAAATGCCTCCAATGATGCCACAGAGTCTGACAAGAAACTGCCAGAGAGGCATGTGCTGCTCGGTGACTTTGACCATTAGTGAGCTGATATCGTACTTCATAAAGATTCCCGAGACTCCATGGCTGCCTGCAGCATGGTTTATCACTCGGTCCTGCAGAGCATGAAGAGGAATACAAACATATTCATCACAACAATAGAACTGGATACTACACAAACGTACAAAGATGTGCAAAATGTAAACCCACCTGCTCAGTGACTGAGTACTGGTGTGTTTCTGCAGAGACCTTGTATGTGTTCAGCTTGGTGGGCACAATGGTGATGAAGTACTGAAACATGTGGTTAGCTGGAGATAATAACCAAATATAGATGTTAGCTCAGCAAAAAAGGCATGCGTTACGATAAAAATGGATTGTTTGACAACACAGACGTACATTCGGCAGAGACTTTCTCCGTGCCGTCCAGCGGGTTGATAATCCCAGGAATCTCTTCTCCAAAGGACAGGTGGTCAATCCGGTGAGAGAAGTTGTAAGCTGTGACACAACACCAAATCAAAACAATTAATAATCATCATCAAGTGAATACAACTGTTTTTTTTCCCCATGTGTCACAACAACCACACCTTTAATGTACCATGAACATCATCGCCTTGTTAGTATGAGAACATTTGTGAAAAACTATATGAACTCACTGTCATGGCTCACGAGTGCAGCTAGATGGGCGTGGCCTCTGGGATGCGGGATGGACCTGTGTAGGGATGAGAAGGTCAGGGGTCACTCAGCCTCTCCAAAATGTTTAATTTCTAAATTTTAAAATCGCCATGCAGATACATACTTGCCAACTGTAACGTGGAAATTTCCTGCCACCTTGTTGACATACAGGTGTCCATGTATCCTGCAGGCTCTAAGGCTAGAGGGGCTGTCCTCACTATGGGGAAGAGGAGCAACACGATGTGGTGGGAATATATTCATCACAATATATGGGAGGTTCAAACTCTTCATCGTTTATCTTTGTAATCACACGTTCAACCATGTAGCAGTTCCAAAGAGAAACAAGCTTATCTTGAGGATCCTGTACCTTTGAGTCTGAGCAGGAGGAGCTCCTTTCATCGCAGCCTTGAAGAGTAAATCCTGGAGAGCGTGCTCCACTCTCAGACGCTCCTGGATGTGCAGGAGCGTCCTAACAGAGAGGGACGGGAAAATTAAGGAAACAAAATCTCACTTGGGAATGGACAAAAAACAATGAATGTGTAGATACTGTATGAAGACCAGGGATTGTAATGTTTGTGCAAATAAATGACAACTGAGTCTTAAATGTGATGTAAATATAGCTGAATAATGCTGGATGAAAAAGACCCTTCCTTTAGGGAGTGTTCATAAATAGATGTTAAGATGTGTAACTTACATGTGCCATAATCTTTGCTCTGGGGACAGCTCAAAGTTGACCTTGAGTGTGACAAAACACAATTGTCAGACAAGCTGAAATTTCTCTACTGTTACACAAAGAAAAGAAAAAAAGGATTGAATGCATTTTTTCTTATTCCATTTTTACAATACAGTAAAATGAATGGAAACAGTGAACACACTGAAGGAACTCATACTTACTGCTTCATATTTTAAGCCATCAGAAGCAACCATGTTCTCTGCCAGATCCAGGACATCTGCCCCTATATCTGCATTCACATTAAGAACATCCATGACACCTTTCTAAACCACACAGATGGAGCTGAAATACAAACACACCTGTTTTTGTACTTACATTGGCATCTCATGGCTACTGTGATGTCAACATTAATCTTCAGTTTACTGGAAGTGGAGAGCAGATGCAGTTAGTGAACACACTAAGCTAAGACACAGGACTGAAGCCTAGTAACCACTATCTCTTACCTGCTGAAGTCTTTGTCCACCTCGTACTCATACTTCATCCACGTGTTTGTGTACACAAAGAACTCCAGGAAGGCGAGGACAGCCATGAGCGTGAACGCTATCAGAGACACTGGAGAGCATCAACATCAGTTACTGTAGTATCGTTATGAGTGTGGGTTATTAGCCAAGTTAAGGCTACATGTATGTAACGTTAGTATCTGTGGTCACGGTACCTGTCCCACCGCTGGCTGTGGACTCCACGTAGCTCTCGGGAACTTTGGGGAAAGCGTCCAACTCCTTCACCAGAGTCAGAGCCTTCTTCTTGGTCAGTCTCCTCATTGTGGGAGCAGCGGTGATGTAGCTTCAGGTGATTCCCTCATAAAGTGGATGTTTTCTAGCAGCTCGTTGCCTTTGGTCGTTTTGGGGGACGACCGCTGAGTAATGTGTAACGTTCAGTCTGTCTACAGCGGGCTGTCGTTTGTGCTGACGTTGATCATGACAGCTGTTAGCAACCGAGCTAGCAGTTAACGTTAACTTACTCAGCTAAATAGCCGGCTAAACAGGACTACGGGCGGCTGGTGTAAGTGTTAAAGTCGTTATTCTACCGTCAGCTCACTTTAGGGTTAAAGTACTTATTTTCACAGTGAAACATGAAGAACTCACCAGACGCGTCGTAAGTTACCTGTGGTAGGTGTGTTGTTAGGACTAGCTAACAGCTAGCTACGTTAGCTAACCTAACCTTTGACCCCATCGTCTGAAATAAAAACGGCTCCCGTTTGGACGTAGCGCCCTCTACCGGTAACCGTCGGTTCGGTTGCAGGTTACAGAAGCACAGTTCAGTTTAAAACATAGTATAAATCGTTTTCAGTGATAATTTAGAGTCAAAACTGACGTTATATCGTGTAACATATAGTTAGCGTTATGTAGAGTTTGGTGCTAACTAAATTGTCACGAGATAGTAAAAGCTTTTGATTCTAGCCACGACGGGATCACCAACTGGCATATAGCTACACCTGTCTCACGTCATGGTCCTCTCAACTCAGTTGATATTTGTATTTAGGAGCCCACATTTCCAAACACTGTTTAAACACCGTTTGTCAAAGACATTGTTCATATACTTGAGCCAAAGACATTTTTATAGACACAATCCCAAGTCTCACATTGAGGGAAAATCCGCTGTATAAATAGATTTTGGACAGTGGAGTCAATACAATTATTCTTATTACATTTTTATTATGATGGAGTGTCAACTTTGATCACCATACTCTGTCTTTATGCTTCTCAAGATTATCATCTTTCAAATACACAAATAAAAACAAATAAAAACTGATTTACAAATATGGAATAAATAACTATTAGTAGTACATTATAAGATGGCCTTTCCCTTTTACACCAAAACGGCCTCTTTAATGGAGAGAGGAGTGATTGGATCCTGCACGCACACAACCTGGTTTCCAGCTCCTGTATCAAAGAGCCTCTACCCTGCTCACGTGACCTTGAATAGTTTGCTGAATCACTGACACACAGTTAAACCCCTGGCTTCCTAGCGATGGAGGTGGAAAACAACGAGAGAATTTCTTGGCAAGGATCAGTAAAGCATCAGATTAAATGCTGCTGAAAACATTCATGACTACACGAACAAACATATTTCCTGGTTTTAACAGGGGCCCATAGAATAACAATGCAACAGTACGATACTATTGTAATAGTATGACAATAACAGTAGTAACTACTCTCAAACCCTATCTACTATTTTTCATGGTGAGAACATTAAATGTTGTCTTTCATAGGACATAAATAATGAGGGATGTCTTCCTTCATTCAGGTGAGCATCTCTTCAAACAATTTTTTTATGTGCTTCTAAAGGGCTTTTGCTCAGTATTACTGTCAGTACTTAAGATATACATCTATAGTGAGATACTATACAACTTCAAGTATTATGTGCATTATTTTAGTGCTGTGCAGGCATAGGACAAATAAGCATGCCAACAAAAATCCAGCGTCCTCATAGACAGTTCATAGCCGCAATTTAACATCAAGGTGGTGACGCTCTTCTCAGCAGATACACCGATGACTGGAAAAGTCAGTAGATATTGTAGAGGTCAACACAAACTCAAATATAAAACATAACCTCCTGCTAAAAGTTTTAAGGGTGAAGCTCAAGAGGCTGAAATCATTCACATACTGCTCGCTCTATTCTGCAGGTACAGAGTCAGGACCCTCGTCCAATAGGATGGCTGTCTCTAGGACATCGGAGGTGGGCGTGTCAGGCAGCTCTTGAGAGAGATCTTCAGAGCATCTGCTCACAGTGGGTGAGATAACATCTGGACTTGTGTCACAGGACTCTGTGCTCTGCTCCCAGGTGGCTGTTGTGATTGTTGTGGCAGCACTGGGGGGAACTGGGTCAAACTCACCATCATCGTCTTCCAGGATGGGTGACTCGTGGATATCTGCCAGAAAAACAACAATATCTTAAACAAGCTGATGTGGATGAAGCTGACTGTGCTTGTAAAATGATGAACAAAAAGTCAACGCTAACTCACTGCTGAAAGCTTCTGGGTACTGCTTAGAAATCTTCCCTTTGAGTGTCCTGCAGAAGAAGAGGCCAATAGTAAGAGGTTGAATGAGAGCGTGTTTGTTTGCACTGGGGGGGGGGGGGGTGGTGACTTACCTGATCCTCCTGAAGACGCTGTCTAGATCTTTCTTCATCTCCACAAGGGTGCGAGTGTGGAGCAGGAAGCGCTCGTTCATCTGTTGCAGTCGCACGTTGGACAGCCCGTTGAAGTTGATCAACATTTCATTGGTTTTCTCGAAGCGGTCAAGCCTGTATTTCACAACAATTCAGCAAAGCAACAATTATCTTCAGGTGCCAGTTTACAAGGCAGCATCACTGTCACATCCGTTTTATGTTTATCAGTGCTCATGAAGCTAAACTAATCATGACACTCACATGTGTCTCTGAGCCTGGATGATGGCGTTAACGTCCTCGGAGTTCACCATGCTCAGCATCCTGTTACAGAACACGCCAGATGCGGTGGGCTCCACCATGATGACGGCTGCAAAACAAACCTTTATTTAGAAATGCGAGTATAGTTTAATGTACAGTTTTCAACCACACGATCGTTAAAACCACGAACCCATAAAGAAAGCTTAATCGTGAAACGGGACAGTGGCAGTCAACCCCAACTGTTAAGTGTATCTGTGATAATTCAATGCAGCGTGGTTAACGATGAACAACTTTATTAACAGTTCGGCGGAGCCCCCTGTTAGCAGGCTGGACCACTGATTACACCGTTAGCTGGTGGTGAGCTAGACCGACGAGCAAAGCAACAACAATTCATATTAGCTACCTCGGCTCCCACGTCGACCTCTGGCTGATTGAATAGCAGATTTAACAGGAAATGTGCAGCCTAAAGGGGCATCTGACAGCTGGCTGTGTAACAAAAACAAAGCACTTCCGTGTTTTTTTTAACTTCCGGTCATAGGACCAGCGTTTCCGGTGCCATTTCTTTATTTAAAACTGCGCAAATCGCAAATGTACATTTTTAATAAATATAATCTTGTTTTATCATTGTTTTTCAGATTTAAAATTAAATAATAATGAAAGTATGTGACGTTTCAAACCCATACATGAATGAATAGGCATATCAGTAAAATATATATTTGTTTTTATAAACAAATGGATATATGTCCATTATCTGCACAGATAATACAGACTATGCTATTTTCTGTAATAACTTGGTTATAATCAGTTTTTCAAAACATATCTGGAAAATTCCAAAAGCCTAAAAGGTAGAGAGAAAATCTGCACCTGTAGTATCGGAATGAAGAACTTCACAGGTTCCTGCTGGGACCTCTCAAATGTCAAATGTTTAAAAGTTGGATCCCAGATTTAAACCTATAGGATGTTAAATAAGTCAAACTAAACTCATGTGTCCTAGTTTTTTTAATTTTTTTCAAACTGACATAAGACACATATGTATAATCTTTTTTACATATGCCGTCACATGCATGAAATTAAAAATGACTACCCTGAAAGTTCATGAACAAAACATATTTCTTGGTGTTTAAATCACAAGCAACAGGATTATTGTGTAATTGCACTAAGTAATGTGAGGAACATGTGTAAACAAATTCTCCCTTTTGAATCCAGTATATATTAGTCTTATAATAAAACTCTAAAATGTAGTAAATTCACTTTTACCTTTCTCTTGTTTTATATTATCTGACATCACACACTGACACTTACATGATATATGTCACTGGCATGAAAGTAGGTATTTTCAAGGAAATAAAGTAGATCATTTCAAATCTAACTAGATGGTTAATTTTTAACCATCTACCCACCTTAATACCAATAAATCAGTAACTCCATACTTTCAGAAAACTCGAAAAATTACTTTTATTAAGGGACAGGTAAAAAAAGTACATGATTTATAAAAAATACAAAACCGCTTTGTCTAACGTGTAAGCTAAATAAATGCATAGCAACAGTACATGCAAGTCTAGAGTTAGGTATCCTACAATTCTGCAACATTTTAAGCTACCAGCTAAAAGGAGAAAAAGTACAGTTTGGTTGCAATCTATCATTCGTTTCAGTCTACATGATACAGATCCAAAGTAATGGAACAGAATAAGTTAGGTTGCACGCAACTCAACTGATGAGTAAATAAATACTTAATAACATTTCACAAATATTGACAACCGGTAATTCAACGCAATGTTAAACAAAGCCTGCGTGAGAATTACATTCGATTTCTTAAGTACAAAACCATTCTACGTATACGCTAAAGATGAAAAGAATTCATAATATTACACTTGTAAGCAGTGATACAAATAAATATGAAATAAATAATGAAACCCATACAAGAGCCACATCGCTCACCCAGCCCCTTATGTACACAAGTCCCCCTCTGCTCCCGACTAAAACAACACATGTATGAAGATTCATATTAGTGTTCCGTTTAGAATACCATAAACATACATACAAATGACCTCGGACAAGCACAAGTGTGCATTGGAAAACCTGCATTGATTTGACATTGGGTGAATTTCAATGTGCTTTGGCTTTCGTTTGATAAATAAAGTAATATTAGGCTATATATCACAACGCATTTGTGGTATACAAGAGGCAATGGCATAGAATTTCAACTTGTATAAAGTAGTTTACCTATACTGACCCAGGAATGAGAGGAATCACTGATATCGATATTGCTGAATGACTATAGACCGATTGTGTGTTTTGCTGTCGTATTGTGTGGTGTTGTTTTGGAAAGAAACTTATTTTTCCTTTTTATTTTTTTCTTACATATAAAAATAAGAAGTGAGATTTACAGTTTATATAAGGCCATGCAATTTTAGTAGAGATCCTTCGGTCTTTTGGATGAGTGCGCTTGCCATTCATGCAAAATGCATGAATGCATTGTGTTGCTGAGGCCACAATAAATATACTGTCCCTTGTGTTTCCTTGTGTTGCTTAATACCGATCCAGAATTAACACTAGCGCTGTCTGTAACACATTATTAAGGCTGGTGTATTTGCTGTTGAAGCTGTGAATAGGCCTTGTTTAAATGGGACCCACTCACATATTTGCACACAGAGACAGTCTACAAACACAAACTCTTTGATAGGAATGGATGTCAATGTGAGAAGACACAAACACAGGGGCTACTGTACATGTCTGTGCTCTGTCAATGTAAAGTGTCATTCATTCCAAAACGAGATATCCACCATTTGAAAAAAAAGAGACATCTACTCTTAACAAAGAAGGCAAAAGTAATGCCATTATATTGGTCAGCTCGTAAAATAGCCACATTGAGAATGGGTTCAACTGTACGTTTGAAATGTTGAGTAATGAATTTCAAGTAGCACCTTCTTTGTGATAAGTGGATCTATTGCGTTTTGGAATCAAATCTTTTAAAGTAACTAACTAGAGCTCCAGCATTTCATCTAAAGTAAATCAACAATACCAAGGATTATGGTCCATCGTCAGGATGGCTTGAATATTAAATACAAAGTAAGAAACAAAGTGGAAAAACAACAGTTCATAAATTACCATTTAAACAAAATAAACAAACCTCCATGTTATCATGGAGAAGACCAAATGAGTTTCAGCTGCTTTATGATTGAAGGCAACCTGAGGCAACTTCTTTCTGTAAGTGCTTGAGAAAAAAAAAAAAAAAACAGCACCCTGAGATTTCTTCAGAGAAATCTGGGCCTGGCTTTGACTTTACCATCCGGCCTCCACCACTGGAGTCACAGTAACACATAGCTGACCTGCATTTTCCTCACAGCTTGGTGTCTCCTTCACTTCCTCTTCCATCTGGGACTTATTCCCGCTGACATCCACGCCCACCTGGCCCTCCTCTATCTCCACCTCTTCCTCCTCATCTTCCTCCTCCTCCTCCTCTTCTTCCTCCTCCTCCTCTTGTTGACGCTGCTGCCGTTGTTTGTTGCGGCAGCATGGTTTGAACAAATGGGGGTCGATGAGCACCTCTCCAAAGCGCCCCTTGTAGATTATTCCACAGCACACCTTTTGCCTAGACAAAACAAAACATATGTTGTATATATTCAAGCCATGAAGCAACGCCACATTACTTACAGGGCCTGTTCCAGGGATTTACATGCTTTAGGTCATTTATAGCACTGCATTACAATGCAATGATAGTGTAACTACTGCGAGTTTTGTCTAATGCACACTTGGTATACAGGTCAATGAAGTCATGGAAAAGAAGATGGTTAACTCCTGCACACTCAGGAACACTGTCAGCTCTCACGTTTGTTAAAAAGGCAACGCGTCGGTCCCAGAACGTCGTCAGGCATTAAAATTGCAGAGTAAAGCAATGTAAATTAGGTTTTTAGGTAATGGCCAAAGCATGCAAAAACGCTGAAAGTGGTCCATTAAAGAAAGTGAGCAGCCCATCCCACTTTTAATAGTGTTAGACCAAGAGTATAAATATGACTCCTGGTTTGACTTTAATTTGTATTAATACCCCAAAGTAGGTATTATTTCAAAATCAACCAGTGGGAAAAAAAAGGGTGAAGGGGCTTTAAGACACTGTTTTCTTGCCTTTACATTTTGAGCGTGTGAGAATCCACAGTTTCAATAACATGCTGCAATAAGTCGTTTGAAATCCTAAATAATGAGTCACAGCTAGTGCTTCACTGTCTGGCTTACCTCTTCCAGTAAGTGAGGTCCAGAAATGAGAAAACAGGAGAGCGACTGGATCCTGGGCTGAGCTCAGTGTCGGAGCCGTCATCTGACAGGTTGCTGTAGCTCGGAGACTGAGCCGGGGAGGTGCTGGAGGTGGTGCTGTGGGCATCAGAGTCTGATGGGAAGAACAACAAGTGAACAACGGAGGGGTGAATAGGTGTGACGTACTGTATGTGGTGTGCATGACAAATAAAAATCTACTCCTGCAGGAACAAATAGGCTAAGTGAATAAATATGTTACTGAATGCCAACAATGCAGAACTCACTGTTTCTTTTAAGCTCTTTCTGCAGCCTGCTGATCTGGATCGGCCGTGCTTTCTTGGAGATGGACTTTATCTTCTTGGGCCTGGAAGTTATCTTTAGGCTGGGACCTCCTCTGGCATCAACAACCTGCATGGGGGGGTATAGGAGAAGAGTCATCATTCGGGTATTTTATCATAACCAAGCAGTTGCTCAACCACATCAGGACGGCAAAACTCACATGGTTCCAGTGCTTCTTGGTTCCCACAGGTAGCTTCTTCCATCGTTTCACCAGGAGCACACAGGCGTTACAGATTTCTCCAGATCGCGTTTCACTCAGTCTGCAAGACAATTTGTGAAGGAATGACCATGGGAGGAATGTTTCAGATCAATACGGTATGTGTACCCTACACATGAAGGCGGATCTTGTGTCCAGCTGTGGCTCTTACCCAAAACAGCTCCTGAAGTCTTTCTCATACCGCTTACTGTCCGTGAAACGAGAGCTTGACGACTTTGCACGGCAGATGCAGCAGCCGTCCAAACTCCTGTACATTTTTGGCTTATGAAAGCCAAACATCTGCGTACAAAAACATATTTAAATATTAACATCTCCGGCTCTCATCAGTGCGCATGGCGTGTTAAGTGCAGTAAAGGTGATGTTTTATTTCCGTTTAGCCTCAATGTGAATTAATACAAACAAATATGGTGTCTTGTAACGCTCAGAGAGCACACGCACAAAATAAATCAGGAAAGCTATTATGTTGGAGCATCTCTCCGCTTTGACCCACATGGGGGGGGAAGTAGGTCAACAGTCAGACAGCGTGTCAGACAGATCATGTCACATGCTGCGCTCACAGGACGCACGCTTCATTTTGGAAAGTCAAAATATAAGCACGCACATAACGCTAGTTCGATTCTCCCGGCTGCAGAGGATAAGTTACTTGATATATTATTTATAAGCTTATTTGCTACAAAATAGAAGCAGGGAAATTCAAAAATGTAAATGTGTCCGGGGGAAATCACGCGTAATTTATGATTTATGTTGCTAGGCAAACTGTAATCTCCACAGCACATGTAGACCCGAACTGCGGCAAAACTGCGAGCCGCGCCCCCCAGACTGGGTTTTTTTTTTTTCTTCTTGCCATCCGTCCTCGGGGTCCTCTGAACAGTGCGGTGCCTCAGAGAGCAGACAGAGAGCAGGAACAACTAAAGACCTCTCACTCTGCTGGTTATATCAAAGAGCCTTGGGCCATATGAAAACCAGAAAACTGTCTCCTGATGACTGAAGATGTCAGTATGACAATCAGTAGCAGTAGGAAATCTAACAATGTAAATGTCTAATAATTAAACTGTAACCTTATTATTTTATTAAAATGCTTTATTTTGTATTATATCAATATGATTAAAGTCTGTAAAAATTGTAAATACATGTGTCTGGCCCTGCAATGTCTGATTTAAATGTGCAAACTGTCATGGAAATAGATATATATATGCTTTACTGTTGCAGAAAGTTTATTTGCAGAAACCAGCAAATAAAACCACTAAAGTCATAAGTCTAGTTAACCGGTTTAGTGCTTTACGGAGATTAAACATGTATTTTACATGAGAGCCCTGACAGCAACACACAATTTAGAGGTCACAATTCACAGCCTACAACAGACTTATAATTAAATAGACAACATTATGAAGATGTAATCAATATTAGAACAAACAGATTTGATCAGCAGGGTGTTAAAATGATAAAACAAAGCAATCAACACCATCAATTTAAATCTGTGAATTTATGTCTGTAGTACAAACCACCTTGTGTTAGCTCGGCTTGTATTCTGGGGTAGCATTGCAAGGCCGACCACATATTCACCTTCGAGCTTGTCATCTGTAAACTGCAGACGATCTCTGCAGCAGAATACAGTACGTGACGCAACTCAACATGGCAACACACTTCAAAGGCGGAGGCAGTGTGGAGAAGGGGGTGTGATGCGATTTTCCGCAAAAGCTGCAATATTAAAAGTAAACTGCAAAAATTCCTCCTTAAAACTGTTAGAACTTGCGTGAACGACATCTGCACTTTTCAAATTATGAGAAGGTTCCGAGAAATCTACATGTTTTCATCGAGAGAAAAGTGCAAGTCGCCAATTTCACCGCCCACTCCAGCGAGGAAGCATGGCATGCCACACGACCTGCTTCATGCGCACCCATTTTATGATGACCGTCCCCTGCTCGACGATGCCCGACTTTCCCTCCCTACATCAACTTAATATCGTGAGATAAACTCGGGTGAACACATTTTCGGAAGCAAAACATATTCTTTTTAATTGTAAAGTAAAGCCGTCCTCAGCCAACCGTGTAATTTGATCTTTACTCTTTGTTATTCCACAGCCGCGTCACTGCAACAGTCCACCTTCAACTACATGTGCACGAAGTTCAAAGCGACGGCTCTCTGAAAGTCCGTGTTTTTCGCCGTTGTTTTTCGCTAAACGACGCGTCTTGTGCCCAGCTTGAGTTTCGTAGCGCGTTCGTCATTAGTTTTGTGTTTGCTGTGGCTGTTTTGTTGACAGCAGCGCCCGCGTGCTGAGACGCATCTCTGGTCCGGGTGGGCGTGAGAGATTCAACTTGGCTTATTTCGCGAGCGTGAATGTTTAGCAGACTGCATGCGCACTATAGCTACAATGTGCGTAGTAATGCCTTGTACACGAGTAGATTTACGACCGTATAACGGCTCACAATGACCGACTTTAGTCACGTTTCGGGAGCAATAAAGGGAGTGATTTCCTCCGACAGCCAACAACAACAACAACAGCCGTCCCTTGCTAATCACATGAAGCCTATTCTCACACTATTAAAACACATTTTCGCGTTCATCTTGCCGTCCTCACACTTTGCCCGGTGACTTTACCTGTTTATAAGGTGAGATACACATCAAGTCGACCAACTAGTCGGTTTTGCAGAAGGCCCCAAAAGAGCAATTGTTCTGACACAACTCGAAGCTTGTTTTAAATGATCTGAACAGACAACTACGTCTTTAAAGCTCCAAAGACCTAAGACAAATACAAAGTGGCTGCATTCATTACCTTGTTGCAAGCTGCGTGAAGCTGATTCAAAGTAGTGGTCCTTATAGCGCGTTCTTACGATTTATGAAAATCAACCCGCATCAGGAACCCGCTCCCTTGTTGATGTCTGCGTTTGTGGACGGGACTGGATAGTTGTGGACTAAGTGCGCATGCGTCGTATCCACACCTCCATTTCAGAGTAGGGCAGAAGGCTTTTTTCTTTTTCTTCAATCAAAGTATTTACATAAACGACGCGTGACGTGCCCGTGCGTCTGCATCCAACTGGCCTTATAAGGATGGGAACATTGCGCGGGAACAGGGGGCTCGGCCCCGGTTGCTATGGCGCATTGGAGAGTGTAAGCAGAGGGGCGGGGCCTGTCGTTTTACTACAGAGCGGCAGATGGTCCGCCTGGGCTCGGCGTCTTGCGGGGAGATGCGCTTTGTTGATTTGAATTGCGTGACAGCGGACCAGCAGATTAGTGGCAAATAGAAGGTGAAACATGGCCTCCATCCAGTGATCAGTTAAGGGAGAACAACCACCGCGAACCAGTCATGCGGCTGTGAGACAACACTGCATCGGTGTCAAAACATTTACCAGAATGTATAGATATGCTGCCTGTAATACAGTCATCTGGGATAAATCTTAATGCAAATAAAAGTGTGGATAAAATGTCTATTGTGGGGGCTTGAATTATAAATTGATGGTCAAAATGAATAGAAGTAGCACTCCAATGCTATTCAATTATGCAATAAATACTCTTACTTCAGGGCTATTGAATTGCATTGCCTGTATGAGGCTGTTTTACTGTAATGGCTGTGACATTGCCAACACTGTCGGAGGACACAGGCAAACACAGTGTAGCCGATATACAGTAGTTGATCAAGTTTTCATTTGCCACACTATAAAAGTCAAATTCTTTGTAAATATGAGATGCAATTAGTCCAATGTCATAAATGTACAGTTAACCTTTTAGCAATTGAAAATTATTTTGCTGCACAAGAATCCTATATCCTTACAGACATAGATTTGAGCGAATAGCTAAAAAAAACACAATACAAAGTCAGTCATGTCAATATTAACTTTAATCTTTGACAACACATTTCATAAATAACAACTCATTATTGCTTTCTCTAATCTGTATTAAATGATAATAGAGGCTTGGTCATTGTGGTTACATAGTGCTCGCAGGACAGTGCAGGAGATAGTATTTTCATAATTCTTTAACTATTAAATTAAATGTGATAACATAATACAGAGTTTTGTAGAAACTGCACTCTATTCATTGTCTGTAGACAACTGAACAGTTTAGAAACAAACAGCAGGACTATTATCCACATAATCAGTAAAATGTGTCCATAGTGGAATCTACTGTTTTACACAGACACAAACAAGATGCCTTTGTACAGAAAAATATGCCACAAATTCATTACACTATAATAACAAATGGGAGCAATTATATCAACGGTCTAATGAAGCAACATGTTTACAATGAGAGAGGAGAAAAAGCTTTCCGACAACATCTGACACAATTAGGACACCAGTTTGGTTTCAGTGTTTCACCAACAGAGGATTTCAGGAGCACAACTCTTCAGTATGTGACCCCCGAACTGAAGTAAACAATTATAAACAGGCAAGATGTTACACAGCATAACAAGAGCATAATAATATAACGTTTCGTAAACACATCATCAAATGGGAACATTATCTTTGTAGAATATATTTAATAAGATATCCAATGAATGAAGTCAAGGTTTTTTGTTTTTTTTTATACAATAAGGCCTGAGTCCTGATATTTCAGATCACAACACAGTAATACATAAAACAAACACACAGATTTTGGCCATGCATGTGCTGAGTTTAAAGTTCAAGTGCAAGCAATACAGCAGTTGAAGGAGAGTTATAGTTGTTCTAGGGTCAGGTACATTTGATGGTGTGAGCTGTGAAAATAGCTACTGTAAATGTGGGACAATGAATTACTTTCTACTTCTCCTTGAGGAAACAGAATTTCACAGTGTAAACAAGCATGGAAAAATCGGACTACTTCCTGAAGCAAATACAGTTTATAAGACATTTACATCAGTGAACAAGGCAATCTGTTTGGAGCTTGAGCTGCCACTGACTTGTTCTGGTCCACTGTCTTCGTTTATGAAAAAGTCACATTTCTCAAGTGTCTAAATGTCCTTTCTTTCCCCACCGATGGCAAGATGAATGTTTTAACCCATATGCATTCCTGCAGTAGGCCACAGAGCAGGAGCTCTTCTGTTAGGGTCAGAGGTCAACTCCTTTGACCAGTGCAGTCTCCAGGGTAATGGTAAACTCATTGAGTGTGTGCAGGATGCGGGAGAGGGAGTGTACAGCAGCTCGGTCCCGCAACAGAGCACCGTCCTCATACGTCCGCGCTGTCGGGGGACACTCAGCTAGCAGGGGGAGCCAATGAGAGAGAAGCCGGTCCCTGCAAAGAGGAACAGGTAAGTGGTCAATTATGGGCCCATAAAGGCCTGATGAAGTTGAGGATTGAATTGAAAGGTGAGTCATCTGACTACAAGACAGAACTAGTGCATGTTCTTTCTCTTGAAACAGCTTTCAGCCATGAGAAACAATGCTTTCAGTGTTCCTTCAATGTCAGTCCACAGCACGACAAGATAAGAAGTCATATGATTCAAGTTCCAAGCATGGGTCACAATACACCCCCAAGTATATTGCTAAACTGTTCTTACTATTTTAAAGCAGTTTACTTTAATTGACAGAACATAAGAAGAGAAATAGAAAAGGACAGAAAAACATATGACCTTACTGGTCGACTAGATCCAAACTCACTTAGATTTATATTCAATAAATATTCATTCTGTTGATGCAGAAACATGAGAAAGCAAAGATCTTTGTAAATGTGTTGTCAGTTATATAATTGATATTCACCTTTTTCCAACAGAAAAATTGAAGCTAAAATTAGTTCAGTTTAGTTATTAAAAACAAAATGTTCCGTTTTCTTTTTTGAACTTGTAATAAATTGACACAGAGATATGAATAACTTTTCTGCATTTCGTGTCCAACCATGAGAAGACAAAGGCTGACACGTTCCCTGCCTGTGCTGTATGGTATGTAAATGGTTCAATGTAGTTAGTGTGGTCAAGCTGCAGCAGGCTTCCTCTGGGCCTCAGGAAGGAAACTATATCACATGTGTCCAACACTATATAATGACCAGGATGCTTTAAAATCACAGACTCCAGTGGGGAGAGTATTTTCAAACGGATTGCCTATTTCTGTTTTAAATAAGGATTATAAATCAAAGTTTTTAGACTTATTCAATTGGATTCATTACATACGTCTCAGTCCAATTATAAAGCTATCTCACCTGATTCCCAAGCAGACGAACAGCTGAAACTTGCCCTCTTTTCCAATGTTTCGTGGCGAGGCATTGATGGCATTGACGTAGTGACAAAGTAAGTCGCAAGGGGGACCCTTTGGCATCGTTGATCTGTGCAGGCCACCCATCTGATCAGCTGTCTCCAAGGAAACCACTGTCTTTTCTGTGGGAAATAGTTGGTCATACTGTCAGTTTATAACTTATTAATATACAGACAATAAGGGAAATTTAGGTTGTAGAAGACAAAACACTGGAGATAGAGGATGTAACACTGGTTTTTAACAAAAAACATCAATCATGCCTTTATTGCATGAAATTTGATATGTGAAATGTATACTCATCACCACTAGATGGGGACATCAGCAAGAAGTAAAACATCACTTTTAATGGACTCACACTGGCAGCACTCACCAATAAAGTCCCAAACAAACACATTCCTCAGGAAAAGACGGTTAGATTTGAGCCCGTGCAGGAGGAACTTCTCCAAGGAAAGCACCAGACCACCTTCACCGCACAACAACACTGTCAGGTTTCCCCTCTAGGATGAGAGAAATGGGAGTTAATGGAGGCATTGTAAGCAAGAGGCTCATCTTTCAACTTCAGTAAATCCCCACATATTACTTTTTTCCAAAATCCTCCGCAGCAGAGAACAATTTGTTTATTTTCTAATCTAAAATGCTCTTCTTTCATTAACTAAGAGGAAGCAAACAGAACAGAGCAAATGCTTGTACATTAAAGGCGGTGCTCTGAAGATGTTATTTCAATGAATAGGAGGGCCCATTACAGATAAACGAAAGTCAGTGGAGATGTGGAGATGAGAGAGGCTCCTCTGATAAATGAACAAAACAAATGAAGCCTGGGCCGGAGGAGCCGGGGTAACGAACCATGTTGGAGATAAAATAACAGGCCGCCGGCCGGAGGTTGACAGTATAACACATCGCTGTATTACATGCTTTGCATTCACCATTTTCACAGCAATTTAGCTTAGTGAGCAAAGAGGTTGAAATAATATTGTTTAATGTGTTATGCACACTCACTATTTACAGTTACATACCTCTTGTTCGGGTTTGTGGAAGTGCTTAACAAGGTTATTTGCTGCCTCCCTCATGTCCTCTTGTACTTCAACAGACAGTATTCCTGACAACATAAATCAAGAAAAGTTACAAATGGAAACATGAGGATGAATGATGACAGACATGAGGGGAAGTGGATAGGAGCTAAATAGAAAGGTGATCCAGGAGCAGAATCTGTTATTGTATCAACAAGTAGGTCAGCTTTTGTACTAAAGAATGTGTTCTTTGTCACTACGCACTGCTTCGGCTGCCAAGCGATTCCAGCACTGCCCGCACACTCTGAGAAGGAGAGGCCAGCTCCGGAGGTGTCCCTGTCCACCGTCCGGCATCCTCCTCTCCTCCAGGTGACACCAGCTGACCAATGAGAACTCTTTCCAAGCTGCCGTCGCCCACGCCTTTCCCTAGCCATCGGCCACACGGGAACCTGAAAGGAAAGAAGACAGTGTTCTATTATCATCCAACTTCAAAATATTCATTATACGATTATTAGGTAACAACCATCTGTTCGAAAAACAGATTGTATTGTGTAGTGGGTGTGTACAGTTCAAATAACATTTAGTTTAGATAACTGACAACAATTTTCGAAGGTGATACTTGTATCTCTAGAGTGAATTGTTTTATACTAGGCAGCAGCTGGCATCAGTTGGTGACATTATGGTAATAAATGAACTTGCAAAGATTCTCATGGGAGTATTTAAGGAGGCTCAGACATCCAATATTTGACAGTCAGGATAATTCAGATGTCATTGTGTCTTTCTCAAACGGAAAAGCTGTTGTCCACAAACACACTCTTGTATAATTAGCCACTGTGC